GTGCAACAAATTATTGATAACTGTATTGTTATCGGGAGCTGAGCTTCCCTAAAAGTTTCAGAACGCTAGCTAGTGGGAAAGTTGATGAAATATCGATTGCAAGATTTGATCATCACAGACAGACAGACACGAAAGCGAGCTAAGAAAAACGTGGTAATTAGTATTCGCTCAAATACCCGATATAAAGTACAGAGAAGCATTCCAAATGCTTTTTGGGTTCACTTTCATCAATTCTCAACATTCGAGATTCATAGAAATTAAATTAAAAAAACAAGAACCTCTTCCTTCATTACTAAGTGTAAGGAAACTAAAGTACCTGTAAGGGTCCGATCCAGAGGTAGTTGAGGAATATGACGGAAGAGTCGAACCTGTTGACGTCGTTAGAGAGCAGGTTCACCATCTGCCCGACGGTGGTGCCGGCTAGCGCCGACTTACTCAGTCGCAACGACTGATCCAACACAACAATAAACATATACTGTACATACAATCTTTAGTCGAAATTTTGACGAAAATTTTAGAAGCAAAGAAAACGCAGAGGAAATTCTTCTTATAAAATTTACTGGCTTTATATTTGATTTGTAATTCTTCGTTTAAATATGATTGGAGCAAACTAATAATATTTTTTTTACACGGTATAAACGTTCAGATCTCTCGGGGGGGGGGGATAAATTATGCCTTATCAGCGTATTGTTAGTTTTTCGAATCGAGAGGCGTTTCATCCCGATTAGCTACGAAACGAAACACTTATCAATTATCAGTCAATTTCCGAGACAAGGCGGAACTTCCCGAGCCAAATAGAAGCTTTAAAAATTCCATGAATGTAGTACACCTTTTGAAGGAAACTCAATTGGACATAAGTTAATCCTTACAGTAAAATTTAAATTTGTTAAATGAATTTTTAAGACATTTTTCAAAAAAATTTCGTCAATTTTCAACGGTTTACACATGAAGCTACGGAAAATGATGTTCATTTTCCACCTTGTACACGAGAGTAAATTTTAGACAAGAGCATTCATGCCTACATTTAAATTTACGCAGTTTATATTTATAATTAGGATTTTCATCACAAGCATTTTCTAACTGCAAGACTAGTCACGACGAGAGCCTGCCAATTTAAAAAATACCAATCACCACAAATTTTAATCGTACCAATAGACAGCCCGAGTGCAAACCATTTGATGGTTTCTTATTTGTGAGTTTAAACTTTTGAAGTTGGAGGGGACGAAAAAAATTGATACCTGTATTTTCACCCGATCCAGTCAAGAGAGCGTTAAGAATGTCACAAAAGAACGAAGATATGATCATTCAAACGTAGGTATAATCGCAAGGTGTCGTTACAGAGTTCAGTCAAATTATGCGATAAAGTTGGATATTGCAAGGAAACTTAATTTTTATCGTGATAATAAGTTGAAACAAAAAATAAACTAGATAAAATTAATTTTATTAATTATTAATACTAAATTTAAACCTTGAAGGGATGCACGAATGGTTAGTGGGTTTAATTGAGAAAAACTGTATTAATTATGTTTGGAAAAATGAAAGGCAGATTCATAGATTAATAAGATTATAAGGTTCGCCCCACTCCTTCAGGCACAGGAGGTCCAGAATGACGAGTGAAGAGCCCAAAGAATACCTTCTTGTACAAGATAGCACAGCTAGCGATTCGAATCTGCATGCCGATGCGTTGAATGCCAAAAAAGAACGGGTGATGGGTGAAGATGTAGAAGAAGGAGCCAGAGACGACACCTGTGGCAAAAACCCAGCTCATCCATCGCTCGTCCAGGCCTGAATCCCCACTCAAGTTTCTGATGAGAAGCCCCAGCATGACTGGCTGCCCGATTCTGGAACACCAACTGCAGGGTTACGACCACGCATCTCTCGGCACTTCAATGAGTGGGACGCAAGCTTCGAGAAATTAAAACCTGAATAGAATTTAGAATCCAATTTAGGAAGAAGTGGATCAAGTGCATCATCTTCATGGGGAGTAAGGCTGAGGGGTAGCGGAGTGCTGTTAAACAGGGGGTGATGGACAGAAAACCGCGGGTAAAGGCACTGGCGACCGTAGAATGTGTAATGAAGGTTCTGATGAAGAACGGATAAGGAGGAAATGGGTGAGTTCGGGCGTTGGGACGGAGGGAATAAAAAAGGCTGATCGAGTTCCTTATGAGGGAGGATGAAGTATGGTAGGATTGTAGTTAGAGGATCGTAAAATGGGGGATAATAGAATAAATCGTTGGATGGGGATGATGGGCCATAAGGTGACTAGTTGGAAGTTGATAAAGCAATCCTCCAAAGAAGAGCTTATCGTCTAAATGTAGGCTGTTTATTTTGCATAAATAACGAGAGGGCAGCAGAGTGCAGGCGTTCTTCTGCATGCCATCAAGCAGTGAAGATAATTGAGAAGCACCGAAATTTATCATGTGTAGGTAAAAGACTGGACAAAAAATCTTAAAATATTAATAGCTTGCAGATTGAACATGGTTATATAGACTACTAGCAGATCTTTCCGTCGATGATAATATACAGTGGGGGGAAATAAATATTCGTACACTTGAAAAATCGTATTTTAATGTATGTAAGTACACAAACTTAACAGGAAAAGTGATTTAAATTATGTATAGAGACGCATAGTATTCAAAAATACTATCAAAAGAAATTAAATCTCAAAGCAACAAAAAACAATGCAACATGTTCACTTTTCGGGGTGAAAAAAGTATTCGTACAAAACAATAAATATAGTATTTTTGAATACTATGCGTCTCTATACATAATTTAAATCACTTTTCCTGTTAAGTTTGTGTACTTACATACATTAAAATACGATTTTTCATGTGTACGAATATTTATTTCCCCCCACTGTAATACAAATTTTGGCTAAGAGATAGTTTAATGTTAGGTAGAAGATTAAGCTGAAGAGTGAAAATTTGGGTAGACCAAATTGCTGATTAACCTGAGCCACAGTCCACCTGTTAATTATGAAGAAAGAATCGGTTTAATAAGAGGTGGTAGCCCCTAATGCTAAAAAGTATAGTTCAAATTCAAAACTTAATGCTAGCGATGATTAAGGATACTTTCAGAACATACATTAAATAAACCTGTCACGGTCGAATCTATTAAAATATCGAGAGACTGAAGCGCTGAAATCAATTGTAACCATTAATAACACGTGAAAGGTAAACTCCGAGTAAATTAATTCATCATAGCAGATATACTGGTAAGAGAGAAAAAAAACAAATTAATCCAATTCAAGAGTCAAAAACCAAGGATACCAAGCATTTTCGAAGAGAAACACTATTATGCCACACAAACGACAAACTCAAAGACTTAGCGAGGTCCTTCATGCGAAGCAAGACAGTAGAAAGAAGTTCATTATCGTCGGCTGAGCATCGATAAAACATGCATTGGGTAAACAAGGATTCATAAAATTGTAACCGCACTTCTCCAACCAGTAGAAACCAAAACCAAAAATGTAAGTTTGCCAAGAACTTGAACGAGGCGGCGCGGCGCACCAACCTTCCTGTACACTAGAGCGCTTGAGGCCACCCGCGCCTCCAGACTGAGTTGGCGGCAAAGAAAGTTGAAGGGATGGTAGACGACGATGTGGATGAGGGCCACGGCCACGATGGCAGCACCCGATAACATGGGGCTGCCCATGGGTGAAGCCAAGCCCTCGAAATGTCGGATGAGCCAACCCAAAACAAGGGGCTGAACTAACCTGCATGATGGGCAGTGCATCGACGGCGTATTTATTCAAGCTGAATTACGTGGGGAACTTCAGACTTAAAGCGAGCCTAAACAATTGCAAATACGATATGAAGACTAAACTGGAGCATCCCATGTACGCGATATGGAGAGAGATTCACTGTGGAAATGACTAATAAAAACGCCGAAATAATGGCTAATTACCATGAACGACAGCCAGGCCATTGCCGAGCGTTGTTACGAGCAGTTTTAGATGCAGTCGAATATTCCTACACGTGATATTCGAACACGTGAAGCAATAAGAAACGAGAGAAAAAACGACGACAAAGATTTCTACTAGCGAACTTGGAAAATAATGGCTGAACACCCGCAAACGAATGACCGAGGATTACCGATATTTAATATCCCGAATCACCTGTACATCAATGTTGAGGTACACGAAGATAAAACCAAGAACCATAACACTCAAATACCGTACCGGATAAATTGCAAATCTACCCTACATCACACGAGTATTCGCACACAAATGTACGAACATATACCTAATATTTCTTCGCATCAAAGTCGATCGAAGTATTTTCAATGACAAAGAAACGACGACCAAACATAAGAACAAGTCTATCATTGCGCGCACACATTATAAGTCTTGGCAGGCTTTCGTGTAGCTTCTGTCTTCATTATATTAGACCAACCTAATTATTTCATTGAGACACAAGTTTCTCAATGATATAATACCAATCTCAAGTAACTTCACATAATTCTAGGCATTTTGCGCAATTGATGCTCGTTAAAAATTGATAAGATACAGCAATGTGTGGGCATACCGCACATACAGAGCCTTCTGAGAGAGAATATCATGACGGGCCGACGTATGTCTTATGTTCACGGATCAAACGTTCGTTCACACGCGAACAAATGCGTCAAGTTAAAAAGAGCCAGAATGAGCTAAGCAAACATGAAGGAAGTTCAAGGGCGTTTCTTTTTAATGAGAAACTAGTAATGCGAAACTCACTGCATAGCGAGCCACACAAGCGGCTATTGGAAGGCATGATGCAGGCATTCAATTCCGTACAAAAAGCATCTATACTCATTTCAGAACTGCAAGGCATATGATCGTATAAATTCTCATAAAAGGAGAATTTCTAGAAAGCCTAAACTATTACATAATAAGTGAACAAGATAAACTTAATCTTATTTTATGACAGAACCACCTACGAAGTATCATTTAACTCCATACTTAGCCAATTTGCGGCATACGGCATGAGCAGCCAGGGAACATTGCTGTCTTTGTTCACAACTTGCCAAGATCATGCTCGACTAACTGACATGATTGCTCCGGAACAGTGTATAGCAGCTTGCTCAAGCTCTACCAAGCAAGAGAACATACACGATGACTTCGTATAACTCGTAAATTAGCTAGGAATGACACTGAGATGAAGAAAAATTAGCGTAAAATACCTTGCACGTCTAAGAATTGAAGGCAAATTATGCGACGAAAAACTAGCAAAAATGTCAATTTATAAGCGTTACAAAGTGGAATGGTGACCCTAGGCTACGCATGAGCAAGAAGAAACGCAACTCACGACCATAAACAAGTGGCTGCAGTAATAAGTGTATCATCAAGGACATTCGTTGCTGGGCGCTCAACTCGTGGCATGAAATATTACGGAGGGCTTTAAGAAGCAGGGAGAGAAGCTGCTCCACAGTAACAGCTTTTACAACTCATATGACCTAATAAAAATCGACATGACTGAACGTTACATAAGCAAAAATAGAACTCTGTTTCGCCTCCCAATATCTGAACGAGGTTGTGTGCAGGAATCTTGACTATGAAATAAACAAATCACTATTCAGAGAGGAACATGTTACTCGTATAGGTATTATGGAGGAGATTCTTTTTCAATTACTTTAAAAAAAAACAGATCAACAACAGCCAGTCACCGAAGTAACAATAAATCTCAAGGAATTGTGAGAAGCTTGTAAAAGAAATTGAGCTTCCCCGCTTGTACATAATAAAAATTGGGTCATTTCCCCCAACGCCTCAGTCAAGAGTGTAAGAGTGTTCAATTAAGAGTTGAAATAAATGCGCACATTCGAACGCTAAAGAATAACGCGATCGTATAGCAGCCTCTGCTGATAGAGGCTTGATCGCGACGTGTGAAGAGCAGAGTCAGGCTGCTATGCATCTGTACTGAGGTGCTGATACAACCTAACACCAGGCGCAATTATTGTGCGGTATTGATACATTCTTATCGAAAGATTACGTAACTGCACGCCTTTAACCTTCACCCAAAATAAAAGGCATTGAAAAACAATTGAAAAATGCACTACTCAAACAATTACATGCGAATATAGCTCAGGTACACGATTCTTTAAGCACATGTTATCAGTTTCTGAACTGCAAGGCAAATACGTACTAACGACATTCATGATTAAAAAAACATTCATGCAGAAAATATCAACTCATTAGCCGAAATTACGAACTCAACAAACATAGCGGTAGAGGAATGAGTTACTCCTTAATCCTGGTGGCAGTCATGCTACGCATCAGTTGTGATATAGAAGCAAGAGAAAAAATAACACGCTGCTACGGTGACTTGGAATCTCAAACCTGTCAAATTCATTAGCGAATCAAAGTGTAAATGATTTGACCTGTTCATACATGGTCAAGATCACCATCTGGTGTTCACTCTGCACAGTTAGTTTACGATAGTGTTTTGTATGAAAATATGCATTATGATAGAGTAGGCTTTGTAAATATGTATTACAGTAAATATGCATTATAGGTAGTAGAGCAGGCGTTGAAGAGAAGACCAAATATGGCCAGTCGTCGATTTTTGTCATGTTCGTGGCTTCCCTCCGGAGGTCTTAAACTAGTGCTTCGACCAGACCATACACAAACTGATATTAATACTGCAATTCTTCTGATGTTTAACCAGATAAACAAGGCGAGGGGCACATCCAGTACTAGTGATCGAGTGGCATTCCAACTTTTAATGAATCAAAAATATATCATAAACCCGAAATCAAGTCATTACATCTTTTTCATTCCAAGAGGGCACTACAGTCCCGAGTAGCGACGCACCTGAGGACGCACTCCTCGATGGCGGCGAGGAGGCCCACGGCGAAGTAGCGGAGGCCAAAGCAGCGCAGCAGCGCCCGCGCGTAGCTCGCTTTGCCGCGCCTCGCAGCGGCGAGCGCCCGCTCCTCCAACCAATATCTGCATCAGCGAAGACAATGTCAACGCTAGAGCTTCATACTTACACGATAAAAAATTTATTAAGGTCGATAGCTTACAAGTATTGCAGTTGAGAATTATTGAGGAAGGTCACTAAGAGCTTAACAGAGCACACAATGCATAGTTGAACTAGTATAAGGTTGACTCAAAAGCCCATTTTTGCGGATGTAGTTCGTTGTTCGCCTGTGACGTCACTGATCTCAGTGACGTCACGGGCATTAACCAATCACCAAAATGCGATCAAACCAGTCAACCAATCCGTCATGGGAATGACGAGATTGTTTACGTTTCTCGATCTACGTGACGTAAAAAAAAGCTGAACTGAAAGACGGAACTTCTCGTGGGTCAACCTTATATAGTTCAACCATGACAGAATGTGCTGCATCAAGTGCGATGAAATATGGTGAGCAGTAAGGATAGAGCGTGGTAGACCAAAGAGATAATATGTACTGGACCACGTGTATAGTTTACTGGATGGTAAGAAAATAGGAATAGAGTTTACAGGACGATAAGGATAGTGTGGACGATATGGGTCACGCCAACGCCCACCTCTCCATGGTGTCGCAGAGCGTCTTGGAAGCATCGCAGCGCTCCACTTCGTACAAGTCGTCGATGGTGAGGTCAGCAGTGCTGCCCTTCTTCAGCAGTGGCATCAACCACCTGTGTACGGGTTATCGTCAGTACACTTATATATTCAAAGTAATTATCCTCACTATAAAATAGCTTAGAATATAACACGCAGCTTCACTGCTTGCACCACCAGTTGTGTTATTATATGACTATCTTATGAGAGTCAAATTAATAGTAGCGCAGCAATAACAACAATCGCTTGCATTTCAAGTGCTTCGGATGCTTTCAGACACTTGAACTACTCACATCTTTGTGAATTCAGAATGGGTGTATTCATTTAACTAAATATGTCTAAATGTGATAAACTTCAATGAAAATTCCTGTATGAATTTAAACTCCATGAATTTTAATATAAGAATTGAAATGTAATAACGGCCAAATTGAAAAAACCTTATTGTGAGAAAAACTATTAGGTCGGAACTAGATTAAAAAGAATTTTAGTTTAATAGAGAGAAATAATATTCAATATGTATAGACATAGATTAAGGTGATACAAGTGAAGGCTACGAAGTTTTTTCGCCTGAATGTTACCCCATCCAAGAATGCAAGTGTAAGCATAAATCCGTAATATCGAATTAGAAATTATGATTACCTTTAATCAGATAAAATTTCGTATGTACAGAAACTATCCTACGATACAGTGCACAAGCTCGCCGTCAAATCGAGCACAATTTTCACATTTTCATTAATTTACCAAATGATTGAAATGAGTGACACGGTAGATTTAAGGCTCGATCTTTGCCCCTACTCAGATGGATAAAACAATCATACTTTGGTATGCTTCAGTGCACAGATCAAGCACCTCAATACGTATGAAAGCTAATAAGATAATATTATTTGCCAATAAATGTCAAGCGATGATTTTTAGGACAAGGTGACAGCGCGTTTCCCTGCCGGCATTGTTCTGATAAATGCTTAGTCATGCATGCAGTCCGCTATAAAAGCGCGCGCATATAGTCGCTTTCCAGCACACCAATACAAAACAAATGAGGGTTAATTTGAGTTCACTAAGAACTGGAATTAATGTTAGTACTATCACCTATATCGTTTGCTTGTACCAACTTCGTAACAAAGTCCTAGTAGTTGAATTATACCCGCAATTAAAAAGCGGCTATATATACAGAATGAAATATGCAGAATTCAGACGTGATCGTTGATTTCTAGCCATATTTTATAAAACGTATTAAGTTCAAATATGAATCTCGAACAAAGCATCTAGCGGAATTTGAATAAACTCAGCAGGAGATGAATAATCTTCAACCTTGACTTCAATGTAGCCTCAAAGTTAGAACGTGAAGTAAACGCTACCGAAAATAACTTGGCGACAGCCTGCAACCGTACGTCTGGCAACTTGTCTCCCACGATATCCAAACGTAAGATCCTGTAGGAAGCAAGCGAAACTATTTTAATTATTAATACAAAGCTTAAATCCGGGCGCAGAGGCTAAAAAATGAATTCAAAACCAGAATAATTCATGACATACAGCAATCGCCCAAGAAAGACAAATTCCGTCGAAATTATAGTAGCACCAATGCAAAACATGTGTTGCCATGACGACAGCAGTGGACGAATCCCGACGCGCTGACTGAACTTGACTCGATGTCGAGGAGCACGTGTAGCGGTGTAGGGAATTTCCCCTACGTAGGAAATCAGCCAACATTAATTCAAGTATTCAGTCAACATAAAGGTTTTAAGAAATTATGATTTAATAAGGTTAATACATCCGTGAAGCAGGAGATATTTCTAAAAATAGGTGGAGACATTTCGTGGCATCTTAATGTAAGAAATCTTGCCAACTATTGCTCCTCGAGTCCATAACATTGGTTCTTCTCCAGAACGCAAGATACACGGGCGGCAGGTTTGATTACCAAAAGTGTTCCTAATAGTAAATAACAAGAGAAGCAAGAATGTGCTCTTAGTCTTAAACGGCTAGATATAGTCGTGAATCATAGAGCAATTTATGAAGTCTGCAACATTATAGGATTAATTTAGTCATACTGAATGCTCACCAAACATAATTTAAAACGGGTGCACATATAGTGCTTTTAGTCTTTTAGATGCACAAATATGCAGATAAATTACGATAATATTGAGTCAAGTGGAAAGTTCAAAATGGCCAGGATTATAGTTAAACATCATGGCATCCAGATTTATGGTTAGGATAGAGGTAATGAAGAGAAAACCTTATAGCCTTAAGATGCCTTTATATAACGTCAATTAAAGTCGCTTCACAGCGCCCAGGCAGAGGCATAAGCAAAGATAATACACTATAAAAGAAAATATTCACCAGAGTACGCCTTCTAGTCGCAATTTAATTGGGCGGTCGAGCAACAGTGCTGAATAATGGTTAAATGACAGACAAGCAGTGCATAATCTAGAGTACCACATAAGTCTTATACACATCAGATTGAAGACCACTAAGTTTACTCGGAGAATTTAAATGGGCGACGAAAGACAACATGAACTTGCATACGAAAGAATTATAAACAACTGTAAATATTTCTATATCGGCTGGAATTAAAAAAATAGCTGTTTCAGAGTTTATTAGACCGTAGGCCTGTCGTCGATTCTTAAAATCGCAGAACACTCACAGCATTTTGCGGTCTCGAACTCGCAACTCACTGCTACAATTCTGCTATGCTTAACCGCCCGGCTCCTTGCCGATTCTGACCAGAAACTGGCGCACAGAGCTGGGTTCGAACCCGTACTGCACCTCTCTGCGCCAATCTTGGTACTCTGAAGTCTGAACTGTAACCACTGGGCCACCCTGCCCAACCACTGGGTCATAAAGTGTAGCGCAAAGATTACTTCTTAAGCATCATCTTGAAGAAGCCGGGATGGGAACTTTTTTCAACACACATGAGCTGATTCCAAATTAATTTCATTCACATTTGCTGATCAATATCAGAAGCATATTTTCTAGCAGAAAAATTTATACAAAATATTTGTTTTTATTTGCTTTTTAGTGGGTATTCGTTATTCATCAATATATGAAAATAATGTGAATTTTCAGTTTCCCATGCGCCAATATCATCGTGGTCATGCAACGTTAGTCTCTTAACCTTACTGCTTTGCCACAAACCAAACCGAGTGAAAGATTGGTGAAAGATTTTATGTAAAGTCAGACAGAAGTGTCTGGCATTGCATAAAATTCAGAAAAGAAGCGCGATATACATCCGTAAAACATGGCTGAATTGTGCATGGAAGATCGTGGGAACATTTATCGAATAGCTTCTTTGTTGTGGCTGAAAATATGGCAATTGCAGCCAAGAAAACAGTATTTACTCGCTTCCGCATGCAATGTCTCTTGCGAGCGAAGCAGGCAACAAATAGTTTTCCCTACTAAACTTGAAGCTCAAAATTACTCTTATTCTACTCTAGAAGGGAGTATTTTTTCTGATATTCCTGTTCGTAGTTGCGAACATGTGAAATATCGTATTCGTAAAAGGATGTGGCGAAAAATTAATTAAACAAGCTCTTTCTGATGTTGGAGACCGAAATCCTAATTATGCGTTTTACTGCGGACCACAGAATTCGCGGCCGCGGACCACAAAAACTAAGGCCGGAAATGAATGCTTACAGGATGTTTACTTATATAAATATTTCTATAGGACCGTATTCATGATCAAAATAATCTCTTTCACCAAATATTTACCAAAGAAATAAGTTTAAATAATTCAGTAAACATATAGTAAGATGCACCATCGTTTGACTAAATTCGTTTCAAGATATTCCCGTAAAAATATTTCGACGACTAACCAAATTCACACAGATATATAACGTCAATGCATCAGGGGAGCGTGCGCAGCGCATGCAGGGCCGTGTTGCAATTGCCGTTACCACAAATGCTGTCGCCGCAGACTTCGTTCACCGAACATAAAAATATCGACGCAGCATCGAACGTTCGTGCAGACTTGAGCAAGCTCGCCACTCAGCTCATAATTGAAGGCTGGCCCAGCAGAGCACTGAGTCACGCGCAACTCCGAGATCGTTTCATTCGTTTGCCATGTGAACATCAGTCTAACACGTTTTCAACACACTCAAACTGAATAATGATAACTTTACGCCAACAGAGTAAAGATTCAGCTCATTTCTAACAACCTATGGCCGAAAAATTTTTTATATAGTTCCAAGAGTGCGCATGAACTATTGAACCAAAACGGAACCAATCTAAACATGTTAAATCATGACGATCGTTAGTATTAACTGTAGTATAATATCGCTGTGTTGTGGCTGCAAAATTTCGGCAAGCGATCAAGGGTATTAAGTGTGCCTCTTCAGATGCAGCACTGTGGCGATTATTAAAACACCGTAACAAAACATTGAAAGAACTCGGCTTTATTTGTTCAGAATTGCAACAAAACCCGACTGAATACTATCAATAGAAATGAGTAAACACCTTTAAAAAAAAGACTCTGTTCACGAGCGAACATGACAACAAAATTAAATGTTATTATAGAACTTCAAGACCAATTGAGTTACTCATGCTTGATGTTGTGCAGTGCACTCCCGAACGTCTCACATTCAAAGGACTTGCAACTCATGTAGCCCAAAATAGCCGCTGAGTTAATGACTCAGCCGCTGGCGATGGGACCTTATTTCTATGGCAGCCATAACTAGCAATCATAAAGTAATTAAAAATCTTGAATGGATTACCAGTAGTTTGCGTCGGCAATTGAGGTACCTCCAAGTGCTATTCTATCACCAATTCCAATTCGAAAGTCGAATGTTTCTGGGAATGAGTAAAAGTTTCGTGCTTATGAGAGCAGACGTCATGATGATGCAGGTCTGTCGTGCATCGGGTTCGTTCGATGAGCTTGTATTTAGGATGCACTAAAAAGTGGCAAGTCTCAGATAGCATGTCCGTTGCAGATAACCCTTCTACAACAACCTAAAAGAGCACTCTGCTTTTCTCAAGTCTTCCATCTAAAATTATAGCATATGATCCAAATTCATAACTGTTTCCTGAAGTAGGTAAATATGCACGGCCTATGGCAGGAAACTTTCATGAACGAAATATTTATTTCCTA